TTTTAGGGGTGTTGGGATTCAATGTCAGGGCGCTTCAGCAAAGTGGGCTAAAAACAACTATGCCTGCCACATAAAAAAATAAGAAAAACATTTTAAAAATATTGAAAAAATATCGACCACGGGTAAATCAGCAGGTGAGTGTCTTTTGAGTGGCAGGAGGGAGGGAAAGCGTAAAGAAGAAGAAGGAAGAGGAGGAGCACCCCCTTGCTTCACCAAGTTGGCCGAGGTGACATTTTCACCTTGGCACCAAAACGCTTTTGTGGGCTTAGCGGTTTTCCTCCTTCTCTTGTTGTGAAAAGGCGCAAATCCGGCTAATGAGTCTTAGTGCCTTTGTCATACTAATGAGACTAATCAGATGCCCCCATTAATGATCTTAACTTTGCGCCTTAACAGCGGGGACGAAGACAAGTGGGATAATCAGCGTCTGCTTTGGTCTTGTGCCTTTTGTACACACGCACACACACGCACACACACACACGCACACACACACACACAGGGTGTCAAACAAAGGTTAAGGTTCAGAGTTTTGAGTTTTAAACAAGGGTTAGGGTTCCAAGCCAAGGTTAGTTATTCCCAACTGGGAATTCAAGCAAAGACTTGGGTCTCAAGTGAGTGTTTGAAGCTAAGGTTAGGGTTCCAAATTCGGGTTTCAAGACAGCATTAGCGTTTCAAAATAGGGTTTCAAGCCCGGGACTGGTTGTTAAACAAAAGGTTCAGCGTTGAGGGCGTGATGAGGGTTTGAAGTTTTGAAACGAGTGTGTGATTTGTGAACGCCTCGCGCCAGGTGACATCACTGGGCGTGGCCACGTTCAGCCTTTGCGCTCTGAGCATCGACCGCTTCCATGCCGCCACAAGTCCCGCCCCCAGGGTGGAGTCCTGCCGCTCCATCCTGTCCAAGATGGCCGTCATCTGGCTGGGTTCGCTGGCGCTGGCCACCCCCGAAGTGCTTCTGTGGCAGCTGCGGCGGGAACTCGTCGGGCCGCCGGAACTCGTCTGGTGGCGGGATGCCGTCGGGCCTGGCGGCTCATCCTTGGCGGCGGACGTGTGCGTGCGCGAGCCATCGGCGGAACTGCCCGACGGCGTCTACTCACTGGTGCTCACCTATCAGGAGGCCCGAACCTGGTGGATGATTGGATGCTACGTCTGTCTGCCGCTGCTCTTCACGCTGGCCTGCGACCTGGTGACTCAACGGGTATGGTCCCGCACCACTCTGTGTGTGTGTGTGTGTGTGTGTGTGTGACAGGAATTCACTAGCGCATAGACCAAACAGCTTTCAGTTATTCTTTTTTATTTTGGGGGAGGGGGCATAAAAAGCGGGATATGAAGAAGTAGTATTTTGTTGAGTTCCATTGGTTGACAAAGAAATAAAAAGTCATCTGGAGCGCACAGACCAAACAGCTTTCAGTTATTCTTTTTTTGGGGGGGCGGGGGGCATAAAAAGTGGGATATGAAGAAGTATTTTGGAGCTACATGTGTTCCATTGGTTGACAAAGAAATAAAAAGTCATCTGTGGGAGGAGTTCCTTTTTGGAAGGAAACCTGGAAATGGCTCACATGAGCATAAATATTCTTTTAGGACCATCATGGCAGACTCAGTTCAGGCATGGCTTCACGAGACTTTTTGGTGGGTCTACTTATGATAGACAAGCCGACCAAATTTCATGTCGCTCTGTCAAACTGGCTTCCGGGGCTGAATTTTTCCCTCAGATTCATAACCAATTCCCATTCCCTCATGATAACCGAATGTCTTCATTTATTGGGGACCACCTGGAGCCACCCACCCGCCACCCCGAGTTCTCTTGTGACGCTCCGAGTCTCTTTTGAGATGAACGCTTTCCTCTCACATGCTAAGCGACAAAGAAGAAGAAGAAAAAGAGAAGGAGGAGGATGGGAGCGAGGCCTCCATAAGAAGGGCGCTTTTGTTCGGGCGTTCTCTCCGGCCGCCCCAAAGCAAGGCTGGAACAAAGGCGCATATCAATCCAGGGCGGCCATTGGCGTTGCTTAGCTACGCGACGCCCACCGCCTCCCACCGCCTTCGTCTTGCTTGCCGCAAGACAAGAGAGAAGAAAGAAGAAAGATAAGCCCAAAGCCAAACTGCTTTGTTGGTCGCCATGACAACCACCCGGACAAAGTTTGCAATATACGGCCTCAGGTTCACCGCCCCCTGAGGAGGTCATTAGACGTCACGTGATCACTTTTATGGACGACCAAATGAGGAAATGATGAAGCATCTTTTGTCACTATGTTCAGAATGAAAGACAGTCAAAAAAGTTACGAGTATGTTTTAGCATTTTCCTGCAAGACGTAGTCTGCAATTAACCAAATAAACGTCAAAAAAAAAAAATCAAGCGCAATTTAGAGCTGTCAATCAGCCTGACCACATTTTTTAAAAAAATAACGTTTATCATCGTCCATGAGTCTCAAGTATTGTTGAAATATTGATGACAGATGTAACTTAAGTGGTTTCGTAAAAATCAAACATCACTTAAAAGTTGTCAACGAATATGATGGATGTTTTTTTTTTGTTTGTTTTTTCAATAAAGTTTACCATCGTAAACGAGCCCAACATCGATATATTTTTACACGAAATATTGAAGGCAATTGGCATTCGTCGCTGAATAGAACATAAGTCGTTTTGTCAGAATCAAACATGATTTTGACTTGTCGAGTTGCGAATGTTTAGCATCTTAGGTGAAGCTAACGGATACGTTCTACAAATGATCACACACGATGTATTCGTAAACATTAAAAACATGATTTCAGAGTCCCCCATGAGCCTAACTTGAGCCTGTTGGTAAAAAATGAAGCTAACGGATACGTTCTACGAATGATCACAGACGATGTATTCGTAAACATTAAAAAAATGATTTCAGAGTTCCCCCATGAGCCTAACTTGAGCCTGTTGGTAAAAAATTGAATTTATATTCTTGTAACTTTGGTCTTTTGGACAATTTCGTGTTTGAGCCAACATCAGTTGAACAATGCGGAAACGTGGCTGTCCCGTTTCCTCTTGTGTCTCTTCGGAATTTTGGTCAGAGCAACTCAGCCTCATCAAGACGTTTGGAGCGAGACCTTCCGGATGCTTCCCAGCGAGGTGCAATGGCTGCACTTTGTTCTTGTGCGTGGCGCAAGTTCCGCTTGCTGGCTGAGCGCTTCAAGAGGAGTCCGGAGACCACCGAAGAAAAAAAGCTGTCCGGGAACTTGGCAAAGATGCAATGTTGTCACGTCCACCAACGACGGCGATGAGGAAAATCAGCCCAAAGGGCAACGATATTACAAGCAAAAAAAAAAAAAAAAAAATGTTGCGGATAGTTTGATGTGAAAAGCCCTTAAACGCTGACTGACATGGATGATCATTGCATCATTATTTTTCGCGGGTCTTGGAAAATCGAATCTTTTGAAATCCATTTCCTAACATGGATAGGACAATATGTGAAGAGTATAAAACATTTCAACAAAAGGAAAATCAAATGAGTATTACGTCTTTGAAAATATAATAATCTAAAATAAAAGTGATCAAAATGTAAAGTGATACGTCATGAAGGAAAGTGAAATAAATATGAAGTCTCTGAAAGTCCAACCAAGGCCAGCAAGTGGCCTGGCCTTGATGAGAGCAGGTGCGCTTTTTAGGAGGAAACGTTTGGACGGAAACATTGCGATCAACTGCGCCGGGGGGCTCCTTTGTTAGAATTTGGACGAGACTTTGACTTTAGCAATATGACAACCTATTTTCAATGTTCACACACCTGAAGCCTTTCGAGCGGACCCGTAGAGACAAAGTAAATCCAACAAACGTTTTTTTTTTTTGTCTGAGGGAGCGTGTTGCCGTTTCAGGGTCACTTGTAACATCATTCAAATTAAATCAAATTCGATTTGTCACGCTCCTCTTTTGAAAATGTTGACGTGGAACGTATGGGGAGCCTTCTCCATTACTGCGAACGGCTGTCGCCGTTTTGGTGAGCAAACTCGGCGTCTCTCTTTTGCTTGAACGGCGGCGGCCTCCTTTCGAGTGGAGGCGGCTCGCGGATATTTGCATTGTGTTTCTTGAACCACGAGGGGGCAGCGTTGCTCAGCGCAAGGACAAGTTCGGCGGTCACCGGCCGATCGGAACTCAACTTCTTTGGAATCAGGAGCAACCTTAACATTGATGTTTTTGTCAAGTACGTCGCCGATTTGTCACGATCCTCTTTTGAAAATGTTGACGTGGAACGTATGGGGAGCCTTCTCCATTCCTGCGAACGGCTCTCGTCGTTTTGTTGAGCAAACTCGGCGTCTCTCTTTTGCTTGAACGGCGGCGGCCTCCTTTCGAGTGGAGGCGGCTCGCGGATATTTGCATTGTGTTTCTTGAACCACGAGGGGGCAGCGTTGCTCCGCGCAAGGACAAGTCCGGCGGTCACCGGCCGATCGGAGCTCAACTTCTTCGGAATCAGGAGCAACCTTAACATTGATGTTTTTGTCAAAGATACAAATTTGGAGTCATTGACAAAGCTAACGTATGCACGCGATTGTAAACATCAAAGACAATGTCCAACAAAAGTTGATATAAAAGAGGATTTCGTTGACAACACTTTGAATAAAATGGAGTTTTTGAGGCGAGTAACGCCAGTGTATGTATATGCTGTTCTAAACCGCTCCTAAAACAATTTCGTCACTTACAGATTCAGTTTGTTTCCTTGAAACTTTCCAGTCATCACCAAAACATCCGAGACACTTTGGTTTTCAACAGACCCGTGAGGGGACGTTTTTGCGTCAACACCCAAGCTGAGCTGTCGACGAGCTGGATGTTCCGAACGTCAGAAGATTCAAAACAATTGGGTCATCAACAAATGTGTGTTTTTTGTGAACATCAAAGACTCACTTGGCGTGAGTCCACAATTTGTGATCTTCAGTATTCTCACCCTGTCCTCGTCGACACTCCCCAAAAGTTTGGCTCATCTCGACTGTCGAGCAAAACGCTCCAATAAACACTTCAGTGTGTGTGTGTGTGTGTGTGTGTGTGTGTGTGTGTGTGTGTGTGTGTGTGTGTGTGTGTGTGTGTGTGTTTGGA